TGCCCAGGGCTGACACGGGTCTGCACTCGGTCCTCTGAGTATATATTATAGCTCCTAGTGTAGTGTTTTTATGTTTCCTGAACCAGTGGGTCTCTGATTCTTGTGCCTTTTCATGGGCTCTTTTCCTTCAATTGGTTTGACTTGTCCAACTTCAATGTGATAGTTTTTTGTTTTATCTTGTATTTTATTATTATCTCCTAGAAGCCTGTTCTTTTCTAATAAGAGACAGAAAGGGAGTGGATCGGATGGGAAGGGAGGTGGGGAGGAACTGGGAGGAGTAGAGGGAGGGGGAACTGTAATCTGGATATATTATGTGAGAAAAGAATGTATTTTCAATAAAAGGAAAAGGTACTAACAATTAAAAAAGAGAGAGGAAATAGTGATTTGGGGTCAACAGCATGTACTGGCTAGTCTCATGTCAATTTGACACAAGCTAGAGGCATCAGAGACAGGAAGCCTCAACTCAGAAAATGCCTCCATAAAATTGGGCTGTGGGCAAGCCTGTAGGGCATATTCTTAATTAGTGATTAATGGGGGTGGACCCAGCCCATTGTGGGTGGTGCCATCCCTGGGCTGGTCCTGAGTTCTATAAGAAAACAGCCTGAGTATGCCAATGGGTTCTATAAGAAAGCAGTACTGTGGATATCACACTGTATAAATAAAATGCTGATTGACCAGTAACCAGGCAGGAAGTATAGGCGGGACAAGCAGAGAAGAGAATTCTGAGAAGTAGAGGCTGAGGCAGGGGAGACACTGCCAGCCGCTGTGAGCAGAAGCAACATGTTAAGATACCGGTAAGCCACAAGCCACGTGGCAACTTATAGATGAATAGAGATGGGTTAATTTAAGATATAAGAACAGTTAGCAAGAAGCCTGCTACGGCCATACAGTTTGTAAGCAATGTAAGTGTCTGTGTGTTTATTTTATAAGTGGGCTGTCAGACTGCTGGGGCTTGGCGGGACCTAGAGAGAAAACTCAAGCTACAAAGCAGACTGAGTACTCCAATGGGTTCTATAAGAAAGCAGGCAGAGCAATCCAAGGAGAGCAAGTCAGCAGCACCCCTCCATGGCCTCTGTAGCTCCTGTCTCCAGGTTCCTTCTCCATTTGAGTTCCTGTCCTGACCTCCTTCAGCGATGAACAGTGACGTGGAAGCGTAAGCTAAATAAACCCTTTCCTCCCCAACTTGCATTTGCCCATGGTCTTTCATCACAGCAATAGTAACCCTGACTAGGACCTTGGGGAAGCTAAAGTGGACTTCATACCCATCTCATTCTTTTTTAGGCCAGGTCCTTCAGAGGACCTGCCCATGGCTGAGTTCATCCACTCTCCATATGTCGAGGTTGGTGTTCATTCAGCCAGGTATTCAGGCTGTGGAACCTGAGTGCTGGCCTGGGAGGACGAGGTTGCTGGGCCTCCCCCGGATGGTTGGAAAGCCCGGAAACAAGAGTAGCCTCTTGGTAGCTCCCTCCCCTTCCCTCTCCTCCCGAGCCGCTACTTCCTGCTGCCATCCTGTTTGCTGCTGTGCAGAGTCCACACTGTTCTGTGATGCCCACCTGGTTTGTGTTTCCCAAGCTAAGGAGAGAGGGGGAGAGAGGTGTGGTGGTTTGGCACACCTGTTTCACCAGTTGTATTCCTAATATGGCAAGGCAAGGTCCCTCCTGGGATGGCGAGGTAGCAGCGGTGATGGCGGAAAGTTCAGGGAAGCACTTTTCCTATTGGTGACTGTTGGAGTCACCATGTTCTAGGAAGGCCCTCAACCCCTGGGCCCGCAGGTGTGTGCTGCACCCAGGAATGCACGGCCCGTTTGGGGTGGTTCAGCACGTACCTGCAGCCCCGTCACAGACGGGGCACAATTTCCAGGACCTGTCACTTATGCACAGAGTGTAATTTTGTGTCCTCACTTGTAGCCCCATAACCCCAGCTTCAGTCAGCGCTCGTGTTTGGTCATGTCTGCCCTCTCTGCTCGCCAAGCTCTGTGAAGCAGAACTCTGCGTCCATGTTCTCTGCCTTTTCTTCTCTCCGTTACATGTCCCTGCAGGTAGAGGCTCTGTGGCACTGTCCCTTTAGTGACAGCATGGGATCACCCTCTCCCGGTGGGCTTCTGGGTGGTGGCCTGCCCTTGGTATTTAGGAGGATGCCCTGAGGCAATTATCACATCTCCCAAACTGGGGAGCCTGGGGCTGACTCTACAGGAGCTAGAGAGAAGCTGCTGGGTTTGGGGTGGCGTGCCAACTGTATTGTGTCTTGACAACTACAGCATCCCGCAGGCATTGGGCCGTCACCAGCCACATGTGAATGTGCCCTGGAGACTCACCAGCCCACTTTGCTGGGGGAAAAGGAACTCATATTTTTTTAGTGCTGAGGATTGATCCTGGGGTCTTGCACATGCTAGACAAGCACTCTACCAGTGAACTTCAGCCCAGGCCTGGTCTTTAGCCCTTACAGGTCTGGGCATGCAGATAACCTCTCCCGGGACTCTAATTTCCGTTTCTTGGCAGCCTTCCTCTTTGTCTCTAGGTGTTTCTCTCTGACTCCATGGGCAGTGCTATGCTCTAGTTCCTGCAAATGTTTTGGTTGATTCCTTGGATTTCTTACCAGACACTAGAATCCCTCATTTTTTTTTTTTTTTCAGTCTATCAGCTGCTCATTCTGTGCGTGGTGAAAGAGTTCTTCCTGTTCCGGGCTGGTCTTTGCACCTGTTTGTGGAGATTTTGTTGGCACCAAAAGCGATTTTCTTCGGCCATTTGTGCTTTGGGCTTGTTTGCATAGACCTGTTCTACCCCAGGGTCATGGTGGTAGTTTCCTGCAATGTCTTAAAATCAAAAGCTGTTTGACTTTCCAGTGTGCTCTTTAATTTACCCATAATTTGTGTGTGTGTGTGTGTGTGTGTGTGTGTGTGTGTGTGTGTGTGTGTGTGTGTGTGGTGTGTAGAGCTTGAGACAGGGTAAGAATTTCTTTCCTTCCAAAGAGAGCAACACTCCATCACCATCTACTGAGTGCCTCCTTCAACCTTGATGATGCTTGCTTCCAAAGAGGTTTGCCTGAAGAGATAGCCTGTGGGCCCTACCTTCCCATGGGCTGGGGGGTCCCAGACTGAATACAAAGCAGAGAGCTGAGTGCCAGCATTCGTCTCTCCCTGCTTCCCGACTGTGACACAGTGTGACCAGCCACCTTCTGCTCCCGTTCCCATGACAGTTCAGCCATGATGGACTGTGCCCTCAAACTGAGCCAAAGGAAAGCTGTCTTCTCTTTAGCTGCTTCTGACCAGTGTTTTGTCACTACAAGGAGAAAAGTGGCTAATACTGTCCCCCTTCCCGGCCACTTTGGGGGCTCAGCCTGTGTCCCAGCCCCTCCTAGCCAGTGTGGCATCTGAGATGCTGAGGCCAGCTTACCGTCGCCAAGGTGGACTCAGGAGCGGCAGACGTATGTGAATGGCAAGGAAGGGTGGGCATGGGCTCTGGCATGAGTGCTCAGAGCTGTGAGGTGCCTTTGTCTGGTGCTGTGGCTGTTCTGGGCAGGGCAGGCCAAGCAGGCAGTGGTTAAGGGACAGGGAGAGGGACATGGATGGCTCTCGGGCCCACCTCCCTAGCCACCACCACAATGGAACCAAGTATGGGGACCGTTTCCTTCCTGTATTGTCCATTTCCATTTTCTGTACCTAGAATCCCCACCCATCTGCCCATTTCCAACAGGAAGGCCTGTCTGTCCACCCTGCCCCTGTACATGGCCTTGCCTCCTGCAGCCCTAGGTACCTATTTGTGCTTCTGAGCACCTTGGGAGTTCACCAGCCATGGCGTGGGCTACTAACTGCTCAGGCAAGGACTGAGCTTGTATTGTTCCCTGTAGCTGGGGCTTCTGGCACTGAGCCTGGCCTACATGGTCCCTGCTTAGGGGACCGGTATTGTTTTTGTCCTCCAGAGGGATCCAAGCGCTCGAGGTCAGGACTCTGAGGGGTCCTGGGTATGAGAAGTGCTTTAGACTGTTAACCAACAGAATGACTGCAGGAGTGTTTGAGTGAATGGGTCCATGTGAGGGATCCCTGGATACTTACACCTGTTCGATGGGCCCAGGGCACTATGCTGATGGACCTGTGGTAAGGAAACATCCCCTGTGTGCCCACACAGTTGCAGGGCAACCTGGGCCACGAGTAGAGCAAAAATAGAGGCTTCCAGTTTGGATAGGAGGGTCCTGTCCATTCCATGGCAGAGAGCTTGCCTTGTCCCATCCCTGGGTGCTGGGCAGAATGCCAGGAAAACACAAAAGACTCTTGGTGAAAAGTTCAGCCGACCAGGGATGGTTTGGGAAGGCACTCACCAGGAGCTTTGTGAACCCAGGAGGCCGAGAGCTGGGGGCAGCCAAGCTGTGGGGCAGATGACACGTTTGGATTTTAAAAAAGCCAAAGCATCTAACAGCCAGGCAGGGTTGCCTGCACATTCCAGCATGTTCTGTTGATTTATAGCTGTTGCTAAGCAACAGAGTACACTGAGGTGGGTGTGATTTTAAAGCTATGGCTCCTGACCAAAGAGAAAATCATTAATGGGGGTGGGAGTAGGGGTGGAGGTGGGGGTGGGGGTGGGGGAGGGCTCAGTGAAGCCTAGAGCACTTCAGATGTCAGAAGCAGTTGGAATGGAGACAGGGATCTCTGCCCCTCCCATTTTCCAAGCCTTCAAGGGCAAGTTCAACTCCAGGTAACCCAGAGCTAGCCCAGTGTTGGATGTATCTTCTGTTTGGCAGTGAATCCTTCCAACATGTGTCAGGTTTCTGATGTCACTCCCCCGTGTACCGACTGCAGCATGTCACTTTGATGGTCAGATTGGTGACCGCTTTGTCATCATGTGCAGCTCCCACCCCACAGCATGATTCACAGGCAAGATGGGTGCTGATACTAAGGGACCAGCCTAGGGACAATGATGAAAACATACAGAAGTCACATACCCAACATGAAGCTGGCATTCAGATTTGGGGGTGGAGGGGGGGTCAGACAAAGGCCAGCCATGTCTCAACTTTCCTAATGCTGTGACTCTTTAATATAGTTCCTCATCTTGTGGTGACCCCCACCAAACATAAAATTATTTTCATAATAATTTCGCTGCTTCATAACTGTGATTTTTGCTACCGTTATGAATTGTAATGTAAATATCTGATAGGCAGGGTATCCGATATGTAACTCCAGAGGGGTCGTGGGAACCACCGCAATAAGGCGTGGCTAAGACGAAAGACCGAATGGTATCTTAGGATGTTTGTTTCCTTGCGGAGCTGGGGCCTCATGCGTGCTAGGCAAGCGTTCTCTATGGAGCCATACCCCCGCCTTCTTCTGTTATTAAGAAGAGATTAACCCTGAGTGGGAGAGCACGGTTAGCCTCCTTGAGGTGACATCTGAGGATGTCTTTGAGAGACAAAGCCTTGAAGAGACTTAAGAAACAGTGATGGGGTGAGGTGGAGTGGAGATAGGGTGGAGGCGGTGGGTACAAAGGCCTGAGGCAGGGCACGATGCTGTGTTGGAAGAATGATGGGGGGGGGCAGTGTGCCAGGAGTGGGAGGGTCCTATAGGGTCCCCAAGCCACTGTAGATCATTGTCACCTTGACAGGTCAGAACTGCAAGTTTCCTAAATCTAGTCCCCTGGGGCTGGAGAGATGGCTCAGTGGTTAAGGGCACTGGCCTCAATGTACAACTTCCAGCACCACATGGAGGCTCACACCATCTGTACCTCCAGTTCCAGGGGATCCAATATCCTCTACTGGCCTCCACAGGCACCGTACGCATGTGATGCACAGATGTGCATGCAGGTAAAACACCCATACACATGAAATAAAAATAAACAAATCCCAAAGTCCAGTCCCACAGCTGAGATCCAGGCCCTGTGGCCGAGGCCCTGCCTCTGAAGGGCAGCTGCTCTTCTCTGAATGGTCCATACCTGCCATCTCTCCATGGTGCGCCAAGGTTTGAGTTTCCCAGAAGCTTGGGGGTGTAAGTAGTTCATGTATGACCCAGGATATATCTGTATATCCTTGATATAGAGAACGGGGAAACCTGCCTCCCCCCAAAGTTTGTAGAAGGCTCTAGAAGTGAGGTAAACAGGATAGGCGGGCAGAAGCAATTCTGAATCTTCTGAGTTCACGCTGATGGCAGGTTGCCGCACATGCTTACCACCCAGGGACCTCAGAAAATGCCCGAGAGCTGGGTATGGAAAGACACCAGGTGTCTGGACAGGGGCTGGCCTCCAGGCAGGGTGAAGCCTCAGGTCTTTCCTTTCCGACTAGACTAGTTCAGACTTGCCGTTCTGTCTTGCGCAGAGTCCTGACTGAGCTTTTGTGTTGTCTCTGGTGCTGCCGAGCGCTGCGGCAAAGCCAGCAGGTGACATTGACCCCGGCTCTTCCCAGACCCTGCTCGCTGAAGGTCAGCTGTAACACAGCAGGCCGCTGCACAGTGCTGGGGTGCGGCTGAAAGTATAGACAGGTCCTGCCCGGTTGTCATGTGCTGGCCTCAGGGTGGGCACCTGCTCCCAGGTGGCTGAGGTGCCCTAATGTCTTTGGGCAGAAGTTTTCCATTAGTGACATGGAGATACTGAGTCCAACCTGTGGGGTCTGGAGACAGAGGGAGGCTTGGAGTATTTGCACATTCACAGGGTGGGCATGGTCCTTCGGCCTGGGCCACTGGTCAGACACTGTCCTTTTTCTTCTGGGATGCTGAGCCAAGATGGAGGCACACCTCATTCCTGGGGATGTATGGTCTATGATGTTTCTTCATTCACCTGCCCCCTCTGGATCCCCAGCCATCTCCCTTGGGACTATGTTATGGTTGTTGCTATTTATTAAATTTGTTTATTATGTATTCCATATGTGCTTGTGTGTGTGTGTGGGGGGGTGCATGTGACATGGTGTGTGTATATGTAAGTCAGAGGACAACTTGTATGAATCAGTTCTCTCTTTCTGCAGTGGGATGTGGGAATTGATCCCAGGTTACCAGTTTAACATTGGAAGCACTTTTACCCACGGGACCAGCCATCCTTCTGGCCCTGGCCAATCATTTAAAAGTTAAATGAACAAATTAATTCAACCAGGACTTAGCGATGTTTTTAAGCACTGGGGTAATAAAGGAAGGCTCACAGGCGAAAGTGTCTCTCTATGGATGCAGGTGGGCAGAGTGACCACTTCACTGATGGACAGAGTATGACTACGGATGACAGGCTGGCTCCTGGGCCATTATATGAAGTTCTCAGGAGCCCACCCTGAGGGCCTGTCTTCTCCCTGACATCAGCAGGCCCAGGTGGCAAGTAGAGCATGGACCTACAGCGTGGCTCAGGAGGCCAGAGCTGATGTGGAGGCGCCATGCTTGCTGGGCTCCAAGAGCTGTGAATTATTGATCACTAGAAAGGCACACACAGACGAGGTCACATCTCTTCTAGGCCAAACTGCTCGATCATGCTTAATGGCCAGTTCTCCAAATTTCCCCAGGGCTAGCCTCAGGATAGGATTAGTTATGTGCCCATTTATTTTTCTTGACTTCAGTGTGTGTGTGTGTGGGGGGGAACAAAGGGACACCTTGCACTTTAAGTTTGAAGCCCAAGGGAAGGCTGGAGGGGGATCCATTGCACCTCCTGCTATGGCAAAGTCAGGCCCCCTCTGCCCCACAAACCCCCAAGCAGCACCCATGGCCTCCTTCCCTTCTCCAACAGTCAAATCAATTAACTGTGATATGCTAAGGGGAAGAGAACAGATTCCCAAAGAAAACTGGCCAAGCTGGGGCTGGTGGCAAGGTCCTTCTGCCTTCAGTGGGCAAGGAAGGAGCTTTGGAGGGGATTTCACTTAGAGGGGGCAATGCTGGAATCCCACCTGGTAAGGGGAGGAACAAGGGTGCTTGGCTTCCCTATACTCAAAGCTAAATATGAATTCTGGCTTCCAGCCAAGAAGGACTATTAGGAGCAGAATTTAGGGCACAGCATGGAACCTCCCATCATTCTCCAACAGCTGAATACCAGGCAGACATCACCCACCTAGCCCTGTGGAGCCTCTGAGCTGAGTTGGCGGGGTGGAGGCGGAGACAGGGGAGTCACCAGGCAGATGGATGGAGCAGAGTGAGCTTCCCGATGCCAGAGGCTAGCCTGAGTTCTCTGATACCCACAAGCACATGCATGAGGAACCTACTAAGCAGGAAGAAGAACCAGAGGGACCCAGGGAATGGTGTGCAGACTCACCTGACTGAGGACAGTGCCTGCTCCTATCAGCCTGATTCACAGAAAGTGGGAACATTATTTCTGACACAAGGGTGAAGGAGTGATGTATTCAAGACTGTAAGACTTGGGTGGTAGAAATCAAATCGCAGAAGATCTGAGGAAATAAAGAGACATTATACCAGTGGATTAGAAGACTGGGTACTGCTAATATGTCAAGTGTCTCCAAATGAATCCATAAGTTAACATCCAAATGAAATCAGAACAGGATACATTTTTTTTTATAAGAAATTGACAACTGAATCTAGAAGTCATCTACAAATGCAAAGGTCCTGGCAGAACTCTAACTATGAAATAAAGAAACAAAGCCAGAGGACTAACTGACTTAAACACTCTCAGAGCTTAGTCACTGACTCAGAGGTTACTGGTGCCCAGACTGATAAGTAGGTCAGTGGGAGAGATCTGAGGCTCACATGCTATGGGGCCTCCCATACCCGATTTTTAGAAAAGACAACAGGATACATGCAAGTATGAGGACCTGAGTTCAGATGTCCAGAACCCATGTAAAAGCTGGTGTCCAATGTGTGTCTGAACCCCAGCATTGAGAGGGCAGAGACAGAGGATCCTGGGGTTTCACTGGCCAGCCAGCCAAGCTGAAATAGAGAACTCCAGGTTCACCGAGAGAGGCTATCTCAAAAAAGAAAAAGAGGGAAGTGATAAAGGAAGACATTCAGGATTGACCTCTGACACACACCTGCACGTGCACACACACACACACACACACACACACACACACACACACACACACACACACACACGAAAGAGCTTCAGTACATACTGTGCACCATATAAAAAATGAAATCAAAATGAATCTTAAATGCAAACCATAAGTCTATGAATGTTCTCATGGGGACCTTTTTCTTAAAGGAGCGGAGTATTTTAGGACTGTGGGTTTTATGGTCACTGGTGAGTCTCTACAAGTCTGTCACAGTGCTGTGAAAGAGGCTGTAAGAAATGCATAAGTGGATGGGGACAGCTGCGTTCCTCTGACACTCCAACAGCTCGGAATAAGCAGCTGCCAACGGCTCGCCACTTTCTGCTGTAGAAGAAAGCAGGGTACATACCTTCGTGATTTTGTGGCCTTGAATTAACTAAATGTTTCTTAGATTTGGCATTGGAAGGAGGATCTAGACAAGAAGAAAAAACCCTAAGAACCTGGGCTTCCTAAAAATGAAAAAGGCCTCCTCTTTGGAAGCCATATTAAATGAAAGATAAGCGATGGGCTGGGAGAAAACCCTTTGCAAAGCTTGTATCTGACAGTGAGTTGTATTAAAACTATGGGGAAAATCTTTCAAAAGTCAATAATAAGGAAACAATGAATTAATTAGCAAGTGGGCAAAATGCCAGAGCTGACACTTGACCAAAGCTGTTTACACGGACGACAGACAGGAGAAAGGGTGGTCGTGTTAGCCCCAGAGCAAGGTACTAAAGCCGCAGTGAACTGCTCCCCTGACCCTGCTCCCCTGACCCTGCTCCCCTGACCCTGCTCCCCTGACCCTGCTCCCCTGACCCTGCTCCCCTGACCCTGCAGTGAGGAGCCTGGAACACTGAGGCCTGGCAAAGCCGCAGAGGCACTGGAGTCCCTCACCCTGGTGACCACAGTGTAAATAGTACAGCCGTCGTGGGGACAATTTGGAAGATGGCCTCTGTTGCACAGGACCTAAAAGCATGCAAAGAAAGGTCTTCAACTGATTTCTGGGACCTGAGGATTGACCTGCTAGAAAAACACAGGCAAGGAGACTCACTAACCAGACTAACTTCTACACCTAGATGCAAAACTCAAAAGTGATATCAAAAAGAGGCTGGACACAGGTCTATTTATTTCTGTTTTGACCACTTAGGGTCTATAGAACTGTAAGGCTGGTGGAAGACAAAGTTTTTCTCTAACCCACGTTCATCACAGACTAAAGGTAAAAGGCACATGATGGCAGATAGAGAAAAAATCCAGCAACCAGTCTCTCAGAAAACCAGGGAGTTCCCAACCCGACAAAAGACAACACTCAAACATCAAAGCCCTGGCTGGGGGGCTCAGTTGGTAAAGTGTTTGCTGGCAGGCAAGGGTCCCTGAATTTGACCCCTGGGACCACGAGGAAGCAGGCGTAGTGGTGCGTGCTTGTAACCCAGCACTTCGGGGATGAAGGGAGGAGGATCAGCATTCAAAGTCATCCTCACCAAGGTCGAGTCTAGCCTGGACTGCAGGAGACACGGTATCAAAACCAAGCAAACAGAAAGACAAACAAACAAATCCAGTGCTAGTTATTGTTGTTATTATTATTATTATTATTATTATTATTGTCAACTTGACACAAGCTAGAGTCATTTGGGAAGAGGGAACCTCAATTGGGAAAACACACCCACCAGATGGACCTATGGGCAAGCCTGTGGTGCGTTTTCGTGATTGATGGCTGATGGCAGAGGCTCAGCTCACTGTGGGCAGTGCCACCCCTGGGCTGCTAGTCCTAGGTAGTTTAAAGCAGGCTGAGTAATCCATGTGGAGCAAAGCAGTAAACAGTGTCCACTCACGACCTCTGCTTCAGGCCCTTCCCTGATGTCTCTTTGTGTTAGACTGTAAGCTGTAAAATGGACTAAATCCTTTCTTCCTTCAAGTTGTTTTGGTCATATTTATCACAGCAATAGAAACCTAATGAAGACAAAAAACCCAAACTAAAACACAGCACTTAACAACATTTTCACAGTGAGATGTTAAAAGCATTTGTAAATACAGGACAAAAGTGTCTCTGTCACCACCGCTGCTCGGTACTTTGACTGGAACAGACAGCTAAGTGTTGAAGAATGGGAAGGGAAAGTCAAAATTGTCTTTGGTTTCAGATAAGATGATCGTAGAGAAAACCTAAGAGAGACGGGCCATGGTGGTGTACACTGGAACCCCAGCACTTAGCAGACAGAGCATGGGGATCTATCTGGAGCTCAAGGCCAGCTCGGGATCCAGGAGACCCTGTCTCAAACCAAATCAACCAACTAAATATTAAAAAAGATAAGGGAGGGCCAAGGGTTGGGGGAGCCTGAGACTCACTCTCAAGCCATTAGAAGTCTATGACAATTCAATATAGCTGTTGGTACTGCACAATAGAGAAATGAACAGTGTTCCTGTTGGACAGAGTACCAATTAGAACAAGTGAGAAGGGAAACCTCCGTATAGCGGCAACAGCCCCACAGAGACTTGTAACAAACTCTAAGACCCTGTGTCCCAGATTTCTGTGGAGGTGGTGGGGAGCGGTTCAGCAGGTCAGAGCTGAGTCCCCCATCCCAGACCACCTGGCTTCAGGTCACTACTACTTTCTGGCTTTTGTGAATTGTCCAATCACTCTGTACCCCCCAGTTTCCTCATATATAGAGGAACAGTATCTATTTCAGAGAAGAGATGGGAAGACTAAATTTGATATAAAGTATTTAAAACAGTAGCTGACACATAATACGTCCAACTAAATGCTTGCTAAAATTAAAAACGCTTTCTTTTTATTTTATATGTATGGGTGTTTACCTGCATGTATGAGTGCGTACCATGTGTGTGTGCAGTGCCCTCAGAAGCCAGAAGAGGGCATTGAATCCGCTGTGTGGGTGCTGAGAATGAATCCTGGGTCCTCTACAAGAGTAACAAGCACTCTTAACTTCTGAGATTTTTTTTTCCAGCCCCACGATTGCTATTTTTGTTATGAAGAAAACGATAAGATTTAATTGATGGGACTGGGAGAAAAATCTAATGAGTCTACAGCCAGACCATTACATTGGGTCCTTTCTCATCACTGTGCCCAAATTCTTGATGAGAAGCACCTCACAGGAGTTTCAGGGTTCAGCCGTCAGGGCAGGTCAGGCATAGCAGTGGGAATGTAAGGTGTCTGGCCACATTGCATCTATAGTCAGGAAGCAGAGAGCAAACAGGAAGGGCTGGGCTCCAAAACCTCAAGACCCACCTCCAGTGACCCACTTCCTTCAGTGAGGCTCCACCTTTTAAAGGTGTCATAACCTTCCAAAAACAGTGTCATCTTTTGGAGACTTGTGGGGATATGTCAATCAAGCCACAAAAGCCATAGTCCTTGGGGTGGGTGATCCACAAACGGTCATTTCCTTTTGGAATTATAAATTCGTACTGATTTCAATGAAAATATGAGCAATTTTCTTCTTTCATTATTTTTTTTAAAAAGATTTAGTTTATTTTTAATTATGTGTAAGTGTATGTCTGTGTGCGGGTTACGTGCATATGAGTACCTTCAGAGGCCAGTAGAGGGCATCAGATCTTCTGGAGTTGGAGTTACAAGCAGTTGCCAGCCACCTTGTGTTGGTGCTGGGACTGAATGAATGCGGGTCCTCTGCAAGAGCAATATGTGCTTGTAACCACTGAGCCATCTTTCCAGCCCCTCAAAAGCACCTGTAATGAGATCCGAATGGTTAGGAATTGAGGCAGAAGAGTAAAAGCCCAGGAGTAGCTAAGATAATGCTGAAGAAAAGCCAAAATGGTCTTGTGGACTATCAGACATCGACTGCTATAAAGCTATACTACCTAAGCAGGGTGGTACTGTCATGTGACTCAGACAAAAAGATTAATGGAACAGAACAGAGTCCAGAGGTTGACCCACATCTGTACAGGGATCTGGTGCAGAAGATAAGTGATGCCATAGGTGAGTGGGGAAGGGCTGTATTGTTAACGGATAGTCTGGACCCGAGGTTCTCCACGTGGGGAAATAGGTAGCATGGTCCCTCTTCAACTGCAGAATAGTGTGCTTGAGATGGATCAACCCTCCAACACATGTCTTCACCTGTGAACATGGACAGAACACACTCTGTCGACCTCCCTCACAGCTCAAGATATGGAGAGTATCGACCCAACAGGAGACAGAAGGTGACATATACGAATGACAGCGCTGATAAATTTCACTGTGTGAAGATTAGCATCTTCTATGAGTTCTTGTGGCAGAGACTCATGCCCTGCAGCAGGAGGGCACTGTTTCTCAGTATGGCAACAAGCAGATGTTAGATACGAACTTCACTGTCGCCCAGAGCCTCCCTCCACATCCCCAGCAGCCTTTACCTTGGGTGTGGGGACCTGTGTGAGAGGTTGGCACTCAACATCCCCAGCAGCCTTTACCTTGAGTGTGGGGACCTGTGTGAGAGGTTGGCACTGCAGGGCTCTTTGCAGCCTTGAGAGTTTGGAGACAAGCTAGAGGTCCATCAGGGTGAGTGGAAGCAGGGCTGGAGAAGTGCCAGTCCACTGCGGTCACAGATAAACACTTAACGACCTTCCGTCTGGAGAGAAGAGCCCAAACTTGTAGCTTTTGCTGGCTCCTGGGATGCAAATTCTTCACTGTGGCTGATTTCCTGCCAATCTCACGACGCTACTGAACACCGACTCAGCCAGGGTGCACACAACCAGATCTGTCAAGAAGGTTCTTAGAGCAAGTGCAGCGCACACACACCATCGATTGCTTCCTCCCTGCACTCAAGATCAATGGGGAAACTATGTAGGGTTGGAAGAAACGAAGCTCTGAAGAGGAGGGAAAAGATATTTGCAGCACGGGGCAGTCGATATGATAATGTTTGTATAAATTTTAAAACGACACAAGATGATTCAAATGTGTGTACGTATGCTAAAGGATAGACATGACTAGTGTAAGGGCTAGCTCAGGAACAGAAGGGAAGAATGGGGGTATGACCAGAAGGCATGAAAAAGGTCTTAGTCTCTCTCTCTCTCTCTCTCTCTCTCTCTCTCTCTCTCTCTCTCTCTCTCCCTCTCTCCCTCCTTCTTTCTCTCTCCCTCTCTCCTTTCTTTCAGTGTGCATAAGGATGTGAAAGAGTGTGGTGTGTGTACACATGGGTGTGCAGGGGAGCGTGCCTGTGGACACACAGAGGCTAGAGGAGACACGGCATCAGAACTCTATTCCCTGGAGCCATCATCTATTATTGAACCTGGAACTGGCCTGGCAGCCAGCAAGTCCCAGTGGTCCCCCTGCTGTCTCTGGCCCCTACAGTGCTAGGGTTATAGGCTGGGGAACAGCCACATCTAGTTTTTTTTTTACATTGGTGCTGGGGTGGGGGTTGAATTCAGGTCTTCATACTTGCACTGCAAGCGTTCTTATCCACCAAGCCATCTCCACAGCTCTGGTTTTACGTCTTGAATGAAAAGAGCTGTAACAGACACTGACCCATCAGCCTAGGCTCTGGATGAAGATGGCAAGGGTCAGACGGGCAGCCAGTTCCCTTTGTTTCATTTCTTACAGTGCTGAGGATCAAACCCAGGGCCTTGCACATTGCTAGGGAAGCTCCCACTAAGCTATGTCCCTAGTCCTTGAAACCATCTCTTCCTGATGGTCTGTGGTATGATGAAGAGGTGCTTGTAAACTACTTCTCCTGGCACATTGTAACTTGGTCCATTCTAGGGACAGGAGGAGAAAGCATGTGGGAATGCTTTGCCTCCACCTGGTACACAAGGATATAGTAGTCAGGACAGGTAAAGATGTGCTGCAGAAACAAACAGCCCCCAGTACCTAGTGACTCCACGCAGCACAGGTTTGTACTTGCTAAGCCTGCACATGGGCTAAGGGGCCTTGGTATCTGTAGTCACTCAGGGTCCAATGGAGGCTTTACCTAGATGAGTACTTTCCCTAAGATTCCTGGACATGAAAAAAAAATAAAAAGACTAATAAAGCACACGGAGGCTTTAGAGTGCCAGCTCAGAGCACACTCTGGATGCTTCACATTCCTTGGCCCAAAGCATGCCTCACAGCCACACCTAACTTAAGAGGTGATAGGCTGTGTGCTTCTACAGGAGGCAAGAAGTGTGATGTGAGGTTCAGGGCTGGCCAAGGATTTCCCTGAGGCTCACTGGCTGCTACTGGAGAGGTCATTTAGCCTGTAGATTCTGAACGGAGGAGAGGAGGAGAGGGGATTTGGAGATAACAGGCTAGGCAATGACCATACTGTGCAAATGCACCTTGTCACAGAAGTCGCCAGTATCTAGTGGAGGAGCAAATGAGGCACACAGAGAGGTGCAGTTGGGGTGCACACTATGAGACTCCAGAATTTAGTCCTAGCACTTGGAAGCTGGGAGCCTGGAATATAGGAAGTAGGGAGGAGAGTCCTGGAGTCTGGAGGACTATAAGGCTGTCTAGAGGAGGGTGAGGGGAGGCATGAGATACAGAGTTGATGACCCCAGGCCATCCTCATTGGTATGAGGGCCTGCCTGGCCAGAGGGTGCTGGACTCAGCAGTGGGGACAGTGAGTAGATGACCCCACAAGCCAGGACAACAGCTCTCTGAAGGAAGCTGGGCAACAGGAACATATTTCTCAATACTTAGCATCCACAACTGAGCAAAACACCTACAAGACATGCAAGTGCTGAGACACAGGAGACCTGGCCATACAGCTTTTAAACTAAAGCCACCCTGCACACCTATTAAAACTGGGCAGACTGCAGCACGGTTCTGTAATGGAAAAACCACACAGCAGCAAACAAGAAACAAATCACAGCTACAGACCCCAGAGCCTGAGTGAGTCTCAGAGACATAACATCCAGCAAAAGAGACAGTCAGATGTTTTGGAAAATTTGTTTAACTATGCAAAGATGTGTTGCATTTGTTTACCTTGCCTGCCTAAGGCACCTGATTGGTCCAATAAAAAGCTAAACAGCCAATAGCTAGGCAGGATGTATAGGCGAGACTTCCAGGCAGAGAGAGTAAGTAGAAGGGAGAATCTAGGCTCAACAGAAACAGAGGGAGACAGAAGGGAAAAAAAGGGAAAGAAAAAGAGATGCCAGAGGCCAGCCAGACACAGAGGAAACAGGAAAGTAGGACATACAGAATGAAAGAAAGGTAAAAAGCTCCGAGGCAAAGTGTAGATTAAGAGAAACAGGTTAAATTAAGTTATAAGAGCTAGTGAGACAAGCCTCAGCTAAGACGGAGCATTCATAATTAATAGTAAAGTCTCCATGTCTTTATTTGGGAGCAGGTTGGCGGCCCAAAGAAAATTCCAGCCACAGTCAGATCCCGTAAGTCTGTTTATAGGAAGTCCCCAAACTAGTAAAGTGGTCAGAAGTCACCCTATAGTCATCCATGTGGTGCTATAACAAAGCCACCTGCCATAGTTAGCTTCACTTGTCAACTTGACTCGACCCAGTCACTTGGGAAGAGAGAACCTCAAATGAAGAATTGTCTCGGTTGAATGACCTGTGACCTTATCTATGGGACATTATTTTGGTTGCTAATTGATGTAAGAGGGCCCAGACCACTACGGGCAGTGCCATCCCTAGTCAGATGGGTCTAAGTTGTGTAAGGAACTAAGTTGACAGCAGGCCAGTAAGCAGCACTCCTCTGTGGCCTCTGCCTCATTTTGACCTGGGAGTTACACGCGGAAATAAATCCCTCCCTAAATTGCTTTTGGCCAGAATGTTTTCTCACAGCAACGGAGAAGCAAATGAAAACAGTTTGTGCCATCACAAAGGACAGGGGGACAGCTAGCTCAGTGGTAGAGTGTTTATCCAGTGTATGCATGGTCCTGGAATTAAGATCCAGTGTGTTGGTACACGCACACATGCACACACGCACGCACGCACGCACGCACGCACGCACGCACGCACGCACGCACACAGCCACCATGGACTGAATCACTTAAACATCACTACTCTTTCTTGAAGTCCTGGAGATCGGCTGTCATGAGAGCAAGTGCCAGTAGCCCTGGTGGGCAGCGAGGACTGCTTCCTAGTCTGTCTTCACTCAACAGAAAAGAAGCCACACGCTCTCTCTCAGAGGGCCCTAATCCTGTCACAAGGGCTCCTGCTTCCCTACCCCATCGCTTCCATTAAAAAAAAAAAAAACGATGTATGTGTACACGTGTGTGCCCACTTCCCTATAAGTGTACCATGTGCTTGCAGGTGTCTGTGGAAGTCAGAGGAGAGCAGATCCCCTGGAACTGGACTCACAGGTGGGGGTGAGCTGCTATGTAGGTGCTGGGAATTGAACCCGGGTCCCCTGGAAGAGCAGTTAGTGCTCTAAACTGATGAGCCATCCCTCCAGTCCCAATCTCAACACTTCTTAAAGACCCTCTTCCTGATACCAACTCGATTTCAATAGGTGACTTAAGGACATTCACCATCAGGGTGAGAGTGGGATGGGACAGGCCTGGGGAAGTGTATCCCCTCCTGGCAGAGGGGCCCGTTACAGAAGGGAGGACACAGTAAGTCTGTCTAGTCACTTGTGGTTGTCCACTGAGGACATGTACCTGTGTGCACATTTGTCAGCTTGGGTCACTATAACAAAATACCGTCGACTGGGTGCCTTCAGGAGCAGAAATGTATTTTCTCACAGCTCTGGAGGTTGCAGTCCAAGATCAGGTCAAGGTGGAGATTTGGGCCAACATGATTCTGTGGAGAGAGCTTTCTTCCTGGTTTGGAGATAGTCCACATCTCTCACCTGGTGCCCTGTGACCTAGAAGGTCACAGGTCAGGGGAACTGAGTAAGCTCTTCTGTCTCTTCTTGTAAAGCCACTATCCATATCACAGACAGGCCTCTGTGATCCAGGCCTCAGGATTAGGGACACATCTGGCCCTCTGTGCATGGTCTGGATGTCAGAAGGGATGCAGAGGAAACTCACTGGGACACACGCTGGACAGCTTCTTAGAAGGAGCTGTGGGAGAGCTGTGGTAGTGAGTGAGGGGTGAGGAAGAGGAGGCATCTGTGTAGAGCCTTCTAGAATCAGCCACGGAGGGGCTGGAGCTCACGGGGAGGTGGAGTGGAGGCCGCTCCGTAATGTGGAGGAGATGGAGGCGCCAATGGACCTTGCAGGCACATCTCTAGCTTAGCCCCTGCTGACCCTTCATCATCCCGACCCGTTGAAGCAGTGTTTATCTGTGCTGTTCATGGAGCCACTGTGGGGCCATGACTCTGCCAGGAGCAGTGATGGACCTGCACAGAGCAGAAGAGGGGCAGTGGGTTCTGTGCTTGAGGGGTGCAGGAGGCCCAAAGGGGAGGCCTGGCTCTGACTGAGGATCAGAGAGTGTTGTACAGGACTATCCTACATACCAAGCTCACCATCATCAGGGGTCCAGCTGGGCCTGTTCCCAAAACATCATCCCACCTGCTCTTCTTGACTGCTGACTTTTCCTCTAGGAGGAGGCCTGGGAGGGTTATAGGACCCTCACAGGTATATCCAGCTGCCCCTCCCAATCGGCTGCATGCATTTCTGCTCTCGTTGCATATGACCTTAAGGGGAGTGGTTCTCAGGGAGGGGCTAGAGTATATAGGTAGGGAAGGACGAAAGGATGGGTCTCCATCATCTCTGCTGGGTAAAGCCCTTCCAGTGTGGCTGCTTTAAGGTCACCCACACCCTCACTCACTGATCTATAACTAAGCCTAATACATCCGATGGTTCCCAGGGTGAACTTAGGTAGACTCCAACTTTTTATCATTGGGACCTTGGGAGGGGGGATGTGGATGTTGCCTAGCACCACCCTCCAGGGTAAAAATTCTCACAACACTAAGGCAGTGCAGGTGAGCCCTGAAGAAACTAGGAAACTACAGATGCAGAGGGTATGATGACAGCTTGGAGCCCATGGGATCTGGGATCCTCAGCATGGCTCAGAGCTATGATTGTGGCATTAGGTCATAGTTGGCTGTTTTCTGTGAGGTCCAGGGCATCAAGCAGGTAAAGCTGGATGGACAGATAAGAAGGTAGGTGTGGGATCCCTTTAAGACCAGGGGATAGGGATGGGACACATGATGGGGGGCGGTGCTGCTCATCATGATGGTAAGATGAGGCCAGGCTTCAGAGTGGGGTGTTGGGTAAGGATGTGGAGAGGGTATCTAAGTAGAGCAGGTGTTGGAGAGGGGAGAGCATGCCAGGCCAGAAAGAGATCATGTGTTAGCTAGTCACCTTCCCATAGGGAGTGAGCTTTGCTTGAATGTTTTGGCCCTGAATCTGCACCCCAGCCAGGAGGTAGACAATGGTGGTCTGCTCTACAGAAGGAGAGCCCAGGCTGGGGTATATCAGAGTACTTGCCCCCGGTCACTCAGCAAGCAGGTGCTAGCCAAACCTCAGGCCTCTGAGGGTGTCTTGCCTTTTCACCAACATCCTGCAGGACTCTGGGGCACTTGTTCAACCTTACAGGTCCTCAGCAGGCCTTTCTGCGGAAATCAGTTCTAGCTCTGGATACCTTCACTATCCAGAGTCCCTCCAACCCACCCTCTCCCTTCCAGCACCCTCTGGCCTGCACTGGGGAGGAGGATGCCCAGAGTCCCAGAGGCCAGCTCTAACAGCTCTGTGGGAGGGCAAGCAGCCTCCGAGCCACCTGCCCCAGCCAACACCTAGGCCTCCAGGCTCCTCCCCCTGCTAACCCCAGAGCCTCACCTCTCCCAAGGGAGGCTAAGCTGCTGTCCTGTCACAGGAGAGCTCACTGAGAACTAAAGATCAAGACTCCTGAAGCCCGTGGATCACCCACAGAGGACTCCAGATTCCTCAGGGTGGGAGTCAGCTGGAGGAGGTAGCAACTTGGTAAAAGAGGGAGACCCCCCGCCCCGACACTCCCAGGGTCCTGTATATGCCTGGCACATGCAGGATGCTGGAAATATCCGGATGACTAAGGAAGGGAGGGGGAAAGCAGGAAAGGGAAAGGGAACGTAAAAGGAGGGAAAGAAGATAAGTACTGAAAAGAAAGGGAAAGGGGGAGGGAGAGGACGGAAGTACTGAAAGGGTGAAAGGGGGAGGAAAAAGAGGAAAAGGGAGAGGGAAGAAAGGAGTCCCGGAGGGGAGGAAGACGGGATAGGAACAGGAGGAGGGAAGGAAAGGAGGGCAGAAACCCTAGCTTGGCAGGGAGGCTCCAGGGATGAAGTGGAGCCAACCTGCCTGAGTGCTCCCACGCAGGGGTCCGTAGCCACATCTCACCTGTGAGCAGAAAGGTGTTCAGGACCGGTGGCAACTCACCCCCAGTCGAATTATCCCGCTCTGCCTCTTGGGGTACTGACCTTCCGTTCCCCAAAGGCGCGCTGGGCAGCCTCCCCCGCCCCCGCAATTGTCAGACCAACCTACATCTTCTTAATAAAGGGCCGAGACAGACATCCTC